TCAAATTTCCGACATTTCAGACATTTTGAAAACTGCAGGGGGTTTGGGCAAAATATGACCCATCACCGTTTTCAGTAATTGGCATATTTTCGGTATAAAAAGTCGTAATTTGAAACTGAAAATAGGTGCAGAGAGTCAGAATTCGGCTCAAAAATCACGCTCAGGAGTCAAATTTCCGACATTTCAGACATTTTAAAAAATGCAGGGGGGTTTGGGCAAAATATGACCCATCGCTGTTTTCAGTAATTGGCATATTTTCGGTATAAAAAGTCGTAATTTGAAACAGAAAACAGGTGCAGAGAGACAGAATTCGGCTCAAAAATCACGCTCAGGAGTCAAATTTCCGACATTTCAGACATTTTGAAAACTGCAGGGGGATAAATATGTATTTGTGCAAGTTGTGTAATAATTATGAAAGATGTGTAATATTTGTGAAAGTTGTGTATTAATTGCGCATGTTGTGTAATTGCACATGGAGGAATTGTTTATTTATACCTTTGTGTATTGTCATTGTGCAAGTTGAGTAATTATATAGCAAGTTTTCTTGTATTAATTGTGCAAAGATGTATAATAATTACACAAATTGTGTAATAATTGTCCATGTTTTATAATAATTTTTGTGCTAATAGTGCATTTATGCAAGTTGTGTTTTTAATTTGTTGAAGTGGAACTGGCGCGACTGTATTTTTTGTGTGCAAATTGTGTATTTTGTGTAAGCTCTGTAATCTGAAAAAATAGACCTTAATGGTGTAAGTGTATTTTGGTTTATGAGACAATGTATGAGTATTTTGTGAAAATTATGTATGTGGAATTGTCCAATTTTAGTGAAAGCGCATTTTTGATTGTCTAAATGCATAAGCATTTTGATATATTTGTGCAAATACCATACTTTATGTAAATGTCATACTCTGATTGTACATGCAATATTGTGTAAATGGTATATTTGTGTGTGCAACTGACATTTTGTATGAAAATGTCATATTTTTGTGTGATGGTATATTTTGAGTGTAAATAATATATTTTGTGCATAAATGGCATATTTGGCGTGTAAATGCTGTATTTTCTGTGCATGGCATAAATCACATCTGATTAATGGGGGAAATGGTGGCAAAAACTATGCTATTCTCTATGAATGTATAGGTTGTGGAGTATGCAGGCGATGAGTCACAATAACGTGGCTAAAGTATGTGGAGTTGTGGCTAAAGTTGTGGAGTATGTGTAGGTGTGTATGCATGTATTTGCGAGTGTTGGTTTAGAAACAAGTTACCTGATTTGCGTAGCAAGAGTAGGATTTTTTTTTGAGGTGTAGAAATGATTAGCCTATGAATATAGTGGCTAGCATCCAGCTGAGTTGCTAGATGGATGAATTGAGGTGCGACATTTGGATAGCTATTTGATGGATGTGAGGACAGTTGACTACCCAATGAACACAGCCACTAATTCGCTGTGCTGCCAGATGTGTGGTAACTAATTCTGGATTATAGTAGAATATCTAGCTATAGGGTTTCATAATTGTTGTTGTGGATAAAACTAGAATGAGAGCTATTTATTAAAACTATTATTGTAAACTAATACTTTAAGTGGGATCCCTTGGTTGTTTTAAGCATAGGGCGGACATGAATGAGATTGGATGGAAATATATAGGAGCTGCCTCGTATGGGCCAATAGGACTTCTGCAGTTACCTGTATTCTGATGTTCAGCTCACCTGCTATGCTGCCAGATGTACGATTCTGCTTAAATTGCAGTACAACATTTGGGCTGCTGTTATACTTTTGAACTTATCACTGAATAATGATTACAGTTGTGGTTGACTAAAATGTATATTCTTAATCCTCTGATTAGGTTAGGTGGGGATGGATAGTCTAGTCATTTTTAATAATAACATCATTGAAATTGAAATTGAAATTGAAATAAGTTTATTGAGGTAAAATACACACAAAGGGATGAGGTAGCTCAAGCTATTCTCACCCCATTCAGTACAACGTGTTAATATATACATATACACACATCACAAATAAACACATTACCAAACATTCTGAGAGGTAAAAATATACATTTCCTCCCTCACAAGTAGTATGGTATCAGACGTACACACAAATACTTTTATGACCTAGGTATACTGTATAGACAATTTGCAAGACACCTGCAGATAATTCAACAAAATATTACAATCTTGGTGATAATAACATCAAATACAGTACATATACATATACCGGCCGTTGAAAAAAGCAAAACGGCCGGTACTTGTCATACTTTATACTACTGTCGACAACCGGGGCGCGGGGTGTAGCTAATCCCCGACATCATCTCAAGGTAACCTCAAGGAGGAAAAGTAGGTCGGGAGTCTGTAAATCTGACAACCGACAGGTAAGAAAGACAGAGTCTAAGAGCTAACAGCTCCATCCTGTAGGCACAAATAGTAAATTTAATATTAAACACACACACACACACACACACACACACACACACACACACACACACACACACACACACACACACACACACACACACACACACACACACACACACACACACACTCACACTTCCCCCTTCTCCCCCCACCCCCCTCTTCCTCCCCAATTTTCTAATGCATTGATCTCCAACATATTATGGGTAAAGAGCACCTCTGCCACCAGTCTGGCCAAGCCGCCACCCTAAGCCCATCTTTACCTCAAAATTGATATATAAATAATAATATCGAAGGGGGAGAAGCTCCTCTAATTGCCATCAAGAGAACAAAAATATTTTTCTTCTGCCTCTATTTAGAGCTTTGAGGCAGTTTGTGGGGAGGTGGTGCGTGACTTAATTACACGGGGCACTAAAAGGGGGTTAGAGTGCATCGCTAAGATACGAGGGTGTTGCTATGGTGACCATAGAGCAGACTGCGTTGCTATGGTGACCATAGAGCAGACTGCGTTGCTATGGTGACCATAGAGCAGACTGCGTTGCTATGGTGACCATAGAGCAGACTGCGTTGCTATGGTGACCATAGAGCAGACTGCGTTGCTATGGTGACCATAGAGCAAACTGCTTTGTTGTGGCCTTATACGTTATAATGACTGCAGGATGGCTGCTATTCTTATTATACGTTATCAACACAAACTTTCTCAAATAATTTCATCTCCCGAAAAGGTTCCACACACGGAGGACGTCCAGGGGAAAGGTTGTACGCTCACCCACAAATCAACATCACCCACTTACAATCACCCATGTACAATCACCCATGTACAATACGAAGCTCGTGTACAGTGTTGGTGGTCGTGGTGCTGAAGGGTACAGTGTTGGTAGTGTTATGGTGTTATTATACCAACTCTGCTTGCTTGCAGTTAAGAAGTCATGGCAGTCTTGTGCAAACAGACCAATGATATTTGAGGTAATCACTATTACTCGGCTACTAAGAGGAAAGACACTTGATGGTAATTGGCTATTTGACAGAGAGGTTTTAATCTTATAATTTGTGTTGCGCTCCTGTTTAATTCAGGGAAACACTTTTGACAGTGACAAGTTGCAGAGGAAAGCTGCAATATTGTCATGGTCGTCAATATCTGATATGATAATGATTAACGATATTGCTGCGTGTTGAAGTGCTCAGAGGAAGGGAGTGGAGAGATAGTGAAGGGAAGGAAGAGAGAGAAAGGGAAGAGAAAGAAAACGGTCTATGTAAGCTTTTATCTGTTCACTTTCTGATACTTTCCGCAGCCACATATTATATCTGACCTCACATTAGGAGCCTAGCACGCGGGAAATTAAACTATACCCAAACTAATATTTCCCGCTATTTGGTCCATCAATCATCCGGACGACACAATCCGCTTAAGCGATAATCCCATAAAAACCCGTTGTGGCAAATGGAGCAATGGTAGAAAGCCAGTATTTGAATAGTTACGATGTGAAGCATGTTAGTGGTGCGGGCCAGCTTGCTACTGCACACACATTTGTACAAGAGTACATTATAAATGCGACTTTCTATTCCACCAATGAGTCGAAAAGTAACGTACTAACTTTTGTAGATATTATTTTCCAAGTATAAACAGGTTTTGTTTACATCCCAGGTTTAGATTTATTAGATTTTTTCATAGATTACGTCTGGTTATGTAAATTGTTTTGGTTCGGTTGATGTAGGTGGTGTTTACAACATGTCTCGAACCATCAAAGCTTCGACCACAACGACGCTAAACAAAGTACAAAGACGACTGTTGCTACGTAGAAGACCCTTCTCACGACTTATCAATCATCAGCTTTTAAGTGGTCTCGCCTAATCAGCAGCGTATGAACCTAGATATTCCATCTACGCCAAGGTAGTGTCATTATTAGGGTGTTTTTAATTTCACTAAAGCATCACAATTTGTACACTTCATAGTGTACAGTATGTTGTACACATAGCTTAAAACAATTGTGTTTTAAGTGTGAAGACAATGTCTGCAGTGACAGCAGTCACCCACATGCTAATGCACTGAATATGACAAGTGTCATTTTCATATGATTTGCTAAATATATAATTAAATAAAGGGATGCAGTGTATTTACATTCAGAGTGTGCCATCGGTGCCTACATACTCACTCACACACATTTATATCAAAATTCTAATACAATTGGAAACAACAAAGTGTTCAGTTTACCCCCCCCCCCCCACCTTCTGTCTCTTCCAGCCCACCTACACACACACACACACACACACAAAACACACACACACACACACACACACACACACACACACACACACACACACACACACAAACACACACACACACACACACACACACACACACACACACACACACACACAAAACTAATAAATATATTAACAGCTCTACGGATGTAATTAGACCGGTCACAACTAAACCCACCATAAGGTAATTGTTTAAAATAATCTCTCCTTCACCCGATCAGGCACAGCAGGCTAATGTGCTACTCTTTAACCACACACACGTCTCTGATAAGAGTACCTGCCGCGACGGAGCCCGGGGGCCTAGAGTAAACACTGTCCCTTCTTCCGCAGGTAACAGCTTCCGCTGCGACAGGCGCCTCAGCTGGATGTTTACCCTCCGCAACACTACCAAGAGCGTGTCTGTGCGCAGGAACCTGGACGAGGTCATCTGCTATCTGGAGGGCACCACCTTACCGCCGAGGCTAGTCGAGGACGAGACAGTGACCCCAGCCTACGAGACTACTACACTAGGCATAGGTGAGTACAAGCCAGGTGTCAGGGAGGGTATGGTGTTAGGGGAACAAGGTGTTCAGTGGGACAGGAAGGCAGCAAGCTAAGAGGAAGGGCAGTTACACACACAAGATATTTTGATATTTTTGGCCAGACTGGACGCATGTGTTGGGTAAGTGGCATGAACCTGAAAAAAGGGAGATTCCTTGCAGAAAGGTTAGTGGGATGGGTAAACTTGGGAAAGGTAGATTAGTTGGGAAGAAAATTAACTGGCTCAGGATTTTAGTTGAGTTGGGTACTCCAGATAAATCTAAGTTTACATCAAACAAAGCAAGATTGTTTTACATAAACAAGGCAGGGCAGTTTAACTAAACATAATAATCAAACAAGACACATACCAGATCCCTACTCCATACCAGAGAGTGGTACCAAGCTTCACTCGAAAGGAACGACAAAAAGAGGATGCTCTGGAGGAAGAGAGAGATTACCAAGAAGGCCAAAAGAACGGAGTGTGGACAGAATATGGCATCTTCAGGTGGTGTCGTATGCCTTTTCCGGGTCAACAATGACAGCAACCACGGACGTCTTCCCAGCAAAGGCAAGCAGTTCATTAGGACATCAGTCGTGATGCGACACTTGCAAAAGCCAAATTGAGTAGGGAAGAGGCGGTGATAGCATTCCAGTAACCACATCAGACGGAATTGACCTTAAGTGCAAAAGAGTTTGTAGACGCAACTCGTTAGAGCAATGGGGGCAGAAGTCTTTAGGGGATGACCCTAGCAAACCAGATTTCCGAATAGGAAGGACAACCACCTCAAGCCAGTCCTCATTGACAGACGACGACTCCCAGACATGGTTATTCAGTAAACACTGAAACGTGCAAGGAGGGAGATGATGAAACATCTCACAATGAATATCTGAACCTGCCGCCTTAAAACCACAGAGGGCCAGGGCAGACTGGAGTTCTGAGAGAGAGAGAGAGAGAGAGAGAGAGAGAGAGAGAGAGAGAGAGAGAGAGAGAGAGAGAGAGAGAGAGAGAATCGTTACAGGAAAGCTGAATATGAGTGCGAAAATCTAAGGGACAAGATTCAAGAAGGGGCTTATGAGTAAGGCGAGGAGGAGGAAGATGAGAACCGGAGCTAACAGTCAATAAAAGCGTCCCCTCGCTCGACAACGTTGGGTACAACAGTTCTACGGGCGAGTGTGCGCACCTCCCCAAACACCCGGCGTCAAAACAGAAGATATCGGAAAGAACATTCAAGAATGGCAAATAGGCAGCAGGAAGGGATCAATCCTAAAAGGAGAAGAGGTGGGGAAGAAAACCAAATATGAGGAAGTGGTAAAATCTACCAGCAAAATTAGAGAGAACAAAAGCAGGAGCATAAGGCTTTAAAAGTACAGGACGACAAGCCGTCCTTGGAGTGTGATGCAAAGAGCATCACACTCCGGCAACCGCCCACCAAGACCCCTCACGATGGCAACAGGCTAGAAAGGGAGGGGAAGGATAGGTTAAAGTTAGGTATCATTATGTTTGAATACAGTACACTATTCTCAAAAATGGGAAATATGGAATCTGAAAACTATAAGCATGCAATGAATTCCATTTATAGAAAATAAAATTCTTTAGACCATTTCAAAGAAAGCGTGTTTTGCATATACTTTGTATATTTTACACGAACTGTTTATAATACAATTAAGTTATAACTTCAGAGTATTGTGTGTTTAGGACAAAGGTTCACCCGTTAGTATACGTGTTGACTATTACTGGAACTGTAATATGCTTTCAGACCATCACAAATATCTAAGATAACAATCCAAGTTGTTGTTTGAATCCAAATCTCATTGTAATGGATTTGGTCTGAGGATGGGCTTCATATGTTACATTGGTATCAGGTTATTTCCTCAGAAATCCTAGAAAATTCAGCTGAATCATGTAGGATTCTCAGAAGTATCCAGCGTGCAGGTTCGAGTCCTCATCACTACTACGATTTTAAAATTGTAGTAGCCATGAGGATCGGCTATTATGATAAAATATTGTGTTCCATGGTCAAAGAAGGCAGAGTTGTACACCCAAATATGACACGAGATCAGCGGTGAAATAGTTATATAAAATCTATAAATGTTGCTTTAACTATCAAATTTAACTACCCAAGAGTAGTGTAGTTTTAAGTCACCCTGACAAGTATTAACTATTTCACCTGCCTGAAAATCATATTTGCTATTATAAATGTGCTGGCGATATATCACATTATCGTGGCTGAAGATAGGAATGACCAAACCACACATCAGAAAGTGAAGAAACTACGAAGTTTCGGTCCGTCCTGGACCATTATACAGTCGCTCATACGACTTTATAATGGTCCAGGACAAACTGGAACGACGTCGTTTCCCCATCATCAGATGTGTGGTTTGATGATCATGTTATATAAATAATTCATTTATTAGTCATTCGACGCCAATCTTAGAAAAATGGGAATTATTGAATAGTATAATAATCTTGTTGTTGTCATTCTAGGTCCCGTGATGAGGTTGCTGGCACTGCGCGAGTCTGAGCTCCCCGACCCTATGATGCGCTGGATGCAGACAGCCGACCCGGACTGTGAGGAGGGTGAGGAAGGGCAGGACGGGACTACTCAAGGCGAGGCCTCAGACAAGCACGACAGAAGACGAGGTGATCGCACCCGGAACAATGGACAGAAACGCGCTAACCAGAAGAACAAGACCCAGAATGACATGCCCCCAGGTGAGGAAGTGACAAACCCTGAATCAGGCGGGCCCCTGGCAGAGGCCCAGCCTCCAGCGCCTGTCCAAGAGTCCCGGGCTTACGACAATGCCTCCAAGACGAGCCACACTGCCCTCGCCCCTCTCATCGCTCTCTGCGTCACCCTCCTCCACGCACGTCCGCACTGAGATCTCCGACAACATGCAATATGAAACATTAAAAGTATTGTTATCTTAGTGACGTTTGTCAAGTGACAGCATCCAGCAACTGTTACACTGTCAGGGGTTAAGAAATTTTGCACGATTCGATCCTAAAAGGATGATTCGAGTTCGAATGTTAATGAGCTATGTAAAATTATGGGTATTTGTAAATACATATACATATATATATAGAGAGAGAGAGATTAAGAAAGTCATTTTGTAAGACAATTCTCTATTATGGACGTGCCAAAGTATATATTATTGAAAAAATATATATATCCCAAAATGCTTCACAAGATGATTTTATAAAAAAGTGTTTAATACACACAAACAATGAGTAGCTGTGTCCCTTGCCTTACATCCTCAACCCCAAGACCTCAGCTGGGGTTAAGAATGCGCTACAGACATAATCATCGCCAATTCAAATGTACCCTTTTGTACTGTCAAAACATATTGATTCGAGAAAGTACACAGTTTATTACAGAGGAAAGTAGATCACTTGAGATATATTCTGAAGCTAGGCCAAGATACACGACTGTAATCTCCATAGTATCATTAATGTTATATATTAACGTGTTCTAGTTCAGTGTGTACAAATGAATTGCCTGGCTTGGCAGTTGATAAAGGGGAAAAAAAAAATTCTCTCGACCTCAGACCTTCCTGATCTTCTCTTGTTCCTTTGCGTTAAATGCTACCGAAGGCTATATGGACTTGGTTTGCATTTCTTCCTGCCACGGTTGATGTATAGTGTACGTACAGTATATTATAGCCTCAATCAACTTTATATTCCATCAATCTGTGTTCTCCTTCAGTTTGGCCAGCAAGTGATCAACTGTCAGAGTATGTAGATGATCCAGTGTGAGAGTAAATGAAAGCTGTATGACTATACCATACTCCACCAGTGTGTACATAGCCTTGTGTGTGTGACTGAACTATATTTTCATACTAAGATGTTACCGTGGGTATATATACAGTAGTTACCGCCCTCCCGCACCTACTTTATACATGCAATACTTAATTCATTTGACCTCGAGTGACGGCTTTTATGTGCTTGTTTTCAGCCTTGGACAAGTTCGTTTCTTCCATCCTGTAACCCTCCCCATTTAACCCCCTCCCCCCCCCCATTTAGAAACAAAATAAAACAATTTTTGTATCATTTTGGAATGATCAATAATTATGCAGTAAATGTAAAAATAAGACTAAATAATTCTTCGTGAAAATATTCATTAATATATATGACAAAAGTTTTGGGTGAGATGGGTATAAATTGGGTATGAAAACATAAGAATGTAAGTAACTACAGAAGGCCTATTAGCCCATACTTTCTCTTCCTGTTTCTATGTTAGTTCGGGGATCTTGAAGTGGGTAGAATATAGTTATGCGTTAATTGGCTGTTGATTGCTTGTGTTGACTTTTTTATGTGTAGTGTCTCGCTGATATCGAGTCTCCTGTTATCATTGTATCTATCGATGATTCCTGTGTTGCTTGTTAAGATTTCTCTAGATTTCTCTGTTAAAAGAGAAATCTTAACAAGCAACACAGGAATCATCGATAGATACAGCAATAGCAGGAGACTCGACATCAGCGAGACACTACACATCAAAAAGTCAACACCAGCAATCAACAGCCAATTAACGCATAACTATATTCTACCAACTTCAAGACCCCGAACCAACATAGAAGCAGCAAGAGAAAGTATGGGCTAATAGGCCTTCTGTAGTTGCTTACATTCTTAAGTTTTCATACCCATATATATATATATATATATATATATATATATATATATATATATATATATATATATATATATATATATATATATATATATATATATATATATATAGTGTGTGTGCAAATTAACAAAAATTATCGTTGGTTCTTTGTACTTTCCTCAGGTCCTGTAACGTTCACTGCCTTGTTTGCTTGTTTTTTACTTAGATTATTTTGCATTGTTATTTTAATATTCAAACTTCTTGAACCAAAATTAACAAATTCATATATGAATTTCTTATATTATTTTGTCAATTTATAACGACAAATTACACTACAATAAGTGTATGCAAACGATATGAATGTTAAATATTTTTTTAACAAAGCATAAAGTAAACATTAGTTTTTATGTTTAGAACTTCTGGCTTTATGTTTTTTCTTAAAATGTCAAGTGGAAAGTTGAAATGTTTTAGTAAAAATTGTTCATTATATCGTAAAATTGCTGGTTTTGGTTAGATCGACGACTTCTACACCCGAAAATATTGCCTTTCCTAATATGCATATTTAACTTCAAATGTCAATAGTGGGATGACTGGTGTTGCTTATTTGTAAATAGATGCCTCATTATAGTTTTTTATATTGCAAGAGAAAATAGACTGCTACTGTACTAGATGACTTCAACAGACTTTATCTTGAAATGCCCACTAGTTACTACCCACTGCACAGTACACACTATTTTGCTGTAACTTCAGAGACGCCTGTATGATTGATGCAACGTCTGTACAGAAATCTTTAGCAAAAGTTTAACACTACTCTAATATTTTTTAATTTGATCCAACTGGCTTTAAGTCAAGTATCTTTTATTTTATGTGTTTTAACAGACTAAAACCTATTGACCATGTTAAATCTATTTAATACTGTAAACAGTCTTTAGTGCACTAGTTTTACTTTTGTTAAGAAATAAGTCAAATTCAGCAGATGGCCCTCAGTGTACATTAGACGAGCATTGTGGTAGTTGACACGGAACTATGCGTTAAAGGCAAAGCTGTAGATCTAACTTTTTTTCAGTGAAAGAATTCAGTAATTAAGCTCATGGCTTAGCAGTGATTCCACTCTTAAGGCCTCTTGAATGTAATTATATAGAAAAATATGCGAGTTTTACTTATACAGTATATGTATATAATATCCGATGTAGTTATTGTAGCTACATCTATGTAAATACTGTATCCTAATAATATAGGCGACGAGCAAGTCTGATTTTTCAGTTGCTAAAACTCACGTATTTTGTAGGAACTTCAGGTTAAACATGAGAGGTGGTCAGCTTGCAAAACTTGTTCAAAATAGCCCCATAAGGCACATTAAACTGTCATACTTGGTAGGATTTATGAGCCTTATTTACTTGTAATAAATTTCCAACAATTTTAAGTTTCTATTCGATGGAAACAGCAAAATACTTTAGCCATCATTGGTTTTATAATGTTAATGGATATGCCGTACTGACTGTGCTTTGTAAATTGTAATCAGAAAGTCTACCGTTGGGAAGGACAATTCATTACCAGACTTTATAAAGTCTTTATAAAGTCACTAAACCAATCACCAGGTGCCTCTCTTGCCTCTGACCAAGGGCGGGTCTCCATACATAAAACTTGTTGGACTCTTAACATTGCCAACATAGATTTCTATTGTCTTCTGTAGAGTCATTTGCACGTGGAGACAAGATGGAAACAACATAACTATAGACACCTGCTATTTTATTATATATCATACAATTAACATTAAATTGTATGATATATATATTTTAACATTAAACCTCCACCAGTGTAACTGGAAATCTGTCTAAATGTTTTGATTTGTATCGTGCAAAAGTATGCCACTGTGCCCTTAATAGCTGAACTATCCATGTAATCAAATTTTTCTTTACGAGTTGACACCCAAGAACAACCTAACAGCCCTCTAGAAATGCCTTGTGGACAACTCTGGTACCTTTTCAGATGATTTTTTTTTGTGTATAGAAATATACATTGGTGGTTCACCTCACAATCAGTGAAAGAGATGATAGCCAATTTACTGATATAGTTTGAAGTTGTATTTGACATTGTTAGTATATAATTTGGAGGATAATACAAGCATGTCCCCTGCTAATGCTTTTGATTCAAGTAATCTCGTAAAAGATTATCTATCACGTACTGAACTAAACAGACAGGATTAAGTAATGCTGCTTGCTTCCACTGACTGCAAAAAAATCAATTTGATCTAATCAAAGAAATTTTGTAGAGTACCTTTACAGCTGGATCCCAGATCATGAGCTGAGTTAATCATTATACTAAAGACGAGACCATTTGGAGTACCAGTCAAAATGTTTTTCTTGTTTTTTGTTCACACTGTATTAAATAAGGTTTCGGCCCAGACATCATACACATGCAGCATAAAACAATTACTGTACAGACACTTGAAAAGCTGATGATTGATTGTGGTGTATTCCACTCATTGTATTCATTGCTATTAAAAACTACATACAAGGACACCCATTTGTGATCTGTGTGCCAGCTGTACAGAGGCAAAAAAAACGATTTTTATAAAAATAAAAAATTAAAAAATATTAGCCATACATATTACAAAAAATAAAAATAAAGAGCTTGTTGTTATTTCATACAAAATGTGTCTTCGATACTAGCCAGCCTATGAACTAGTTTTTGGCCTAGTTCCGCGGCTTGCTAGTGCTAGTCATCCGACTAGAATGAATGTTTATTAGTGCAGATGTATATGCAGCATATTGGTTATACTGTGTGCAAATTATTTCTTGTTTAATAAAATAGTATCGTGGAAATTGTTTTGTTTCAGTTCTTCATGATCAACAATTACAATTCTGACCTCCCTATTTATGAGATGTTAAACCAATTTATAAGATGCTGAGCTATTTGTAGTCATCAGATTATGTCAGAAGATTAATTAGTGTTACAAAACTTGTATATATATGCTGCTCATAATAAATACAAATACAGCATAATATAACTGAAATTATAATTCAAACTAAAACACAATCGACTTGAGAGTGGTCCAGGACGGACCGAAACGTCGTCGTCCCTTCACTTTCTAGTGTGTGGTCTGGTCAACATATTTCAGCCATGTTATTGACTCCTCGTCTGCATAATTAAAACTATTCCTTGCATTATTATGATCAGTTTAAATTCATGATAATTAATTGGTACATTTACTTTAATTTGTTAAATCTGTTAGGGATAAAGCACACAAGAGCAGGTCCCGTGGGAAGAATGAGAAGAGTAACGAATTCAGAGTTGCTTAACTTTTTGCTGGATCTATAATAAACGATGTGACAAGTTGACAAGTTGTCTTTTCAACTCAATGGTGATCCACTGGATTAGCTGTGGCAAGTCCTCGCCCTCAACCAAGGGTAAGATTATACAGCTGGCATACAACTACCATTCCGTCACTGCTCTTCTGCCTGAACAAGCTAAGTTATTCCAGAAAAAGGTGCGTGTCCGGTTTGTTTGGCACCTCAAATATAATTGTCTATTGCCATTGCAGTGCAGGTTTAAGATTATATATAAAAAATGCTATGTCAGAATAGCTGTCTATGAAGAATGGGAGTGTATATGCTGTATCTTGCAGCTTTCCGTAAGAGTGCTACAGGTCTACAATGTGGCATTTTTAACCAAACATTTCATTCGAGTTGTGCAGAACTTCCTTCAAAGTACATTAAATAATGTAACACACCGGATTTGTCATAATGACAGACCGATGTGAACAAATGTAGTCAGACTTATGAGAGAGATACCCGAGGCACAAACCACAAGTAAGGAAATTTGTAAGGAAATTACCAAGTGCAGAGTATCGCAGAGTGGAACACAATGTCCAGCATCACTATCATCAGCAATACTGGGAAGCCAAAATATATCATTGAGAACCACAGTGTAAATACATTGAGAACGTGTAAATAAGAACACACAAATTATGCCAGAGCATAGATGGCTCAAAGGAGTGGGTTGCAAATACAAGATTGGAATAGCATATCTGTGAAAAGAACAGACGAAAAGATGTGTGGATAGTTTAGCAAAGGTAAATGCAAATAAGGAACCAATGGCACATAATGCAGATTTGCACCTCCCAGAAGATACTGGAGTATGTTAAGGAAGGGAGGGTACCATCTTGGAATAGAGTGAAAAATTTTCCAACGCAAGTTCCGTCAACTCTCTTACAAACTGGAATTGCTATGATCTTAATTCCAGGACTTCCACGTGAAAGAAACAGTGCTATAGATGGGAGGAAGTTGATGAAGGTGCAAATATAAGTGAGGCAGCACAACCTGCAGTTTGGGTATATGATGCTGATGAAAGTATGCTAACGTTGAAAGCGTTAATGTTGGAAAATGTTATAAATATATTGGATCAAGTTATCCCAGGCCCATCGATCTCGAACCCATTGTTGATGTGACGACTTATACTGAATTTTGTAACTAGCTCATCAAGATTGTAACTTGCTTAGCTAAATGAATTGTGGGGTTCAGTCCCTGAGCCCATTATGTGCCTCTGTAACCCTTTCCACTACCGCCCATAAGATGGGTATGGGGTGCATAATAAATGAATTAAACTGAACTAAGTTATCCCAGAATCAAGTAGTGTTTTGCTTCAATGATTATCTACATGTTTGCAACATACAAGTCTGTAGACAGTAAGTCACAATAATGTTCC